AGATGTAAAATTAACGATAATAATTTACATTGAAAAGCATGCCCTATCACTTGCTGATAACGTATCATTTTCCCTTCAATACTTCAGTTCTTGTTCAGATTGAGAAACCCTATCACCCCAAACCAGTGGAGCATCCTCACAAAGTTCTCACACTCTGAAGCATCACTGAACCCAGCAGTTTTACCAACAGAGACTGAGCTGAGAACAAAGAAAATCATGCAGAAACTAGACCAGCTGATCCCGCCCAGACCTTTCATCCATGTGAATACCACAACCAGTGCCACCCACAGCACAGCCACCATCCTCAACCCTAGAGACACATACTGCAGAGGGGATCAGCTGGACATCCTGCTGGAGATGAGGGACCACTTAGGACACAGGAAGGAATATGGTGGAGATTTCCTGAGGGCCAGGATGTTCTCCCCAGCCCTGCAGGCAGGTGCTGCAGGAAAGGTGACTGACTTCAACGACGGGACCTACCTTGTCAGATTCACTCTGTTCTGGGAGGGCCAGGTCTCCCTGTCTCTCCTGCTCATTCACCCCAGTGAGGGGGCATCGGCTCTCTGGAGGGCAAGGAACCAAGGCTATGACAGGGTGATCTTCATTGGCAAGTTTGCCAATGGCGCCTCTCAAGTCCTCTCTGAATGTGGCCTGACCCCAAACACAAGTGCTGAATTGTGCCAGTATCTGGACGCTCGAGACCAAGAAGGTTTCTACTGCGAGAGGCCTCCACATGTTCCCTGTGAGGCCCTGATCCACATGGCCACCAGGAATAGAAATGTTTCCTATCTTAGCAAGCAAGAGTGGAGTCTTTTCCACAGGTAAATGGGCCTTCAAATGCAATAATAGATACAAAGACGTAGACTTAGGATCAGACCAAACTCTGCCTGATAGCTTTGACTAATAAAGCTGTCTTATCATGTCAATTAATGTTGACTAAGTTATAATTAGGTCCATCCCTCAGAGTCAGTTCAGCTGGGAGTATTTTCAGAGGGTTCCAGGTAGGTCAGCTTTAGAAGTATTTGCTAAAAGGAGTATAACCAGTGA